GCACTTCTATGATTTTTGTACTTCTGATATCAGTAATAATGTTGTATTTCAGATATCTTTACTGGTGATATTTTTTATCTTCACTGTTTAACAACTTGGTTATATATGATATTCTGGTATTACTTGCTTCAAGAAAATTGAAATAAATATTTAGATTTTCTGTGACATGCTGCAACGTTATGGGGGTGTACATTCAATGAAAATTAGAATCTTAGTGTAAATTATTCAAAGGACAAACACACAGTCCAATGATATTTTTCATGATTCGGCTCATTTATCCCAACTTTTATTACTTTTTCTTGTTGGAAAAGAATAAGAGATCAATTGCGAAAACGTAACCTGAATCACTAATATGATCAGGCTCGTTAACTCGCTTCAATTTCAGAAGGAAATCAAAACTGTTTTAAAAAGATAGGTTAGGACCGTTTTTGTTTGGAAAGTTCCAAGTGTGACTTATTAAGAACTTGGCGAAACACAACTGAATTTTAGTTTAAAAGCCGTAGGCAAGAAATGGATAACATGATATTAGTGAAAAAAGTTAACTGATGGATTTGGTTGTTGCGTGGGAATGTAAGACAAAAAAATGACAGCTTGTGAAGATATCGACTGAGTGAGAGATTATATATCATCTCAGATATATCTGCCGCATCAGTTCAGAATTATAAACCTGACTTCTCATTAGAAACAATAGAGTTTAATTATACAGTAAATGATTAACAAGCAATTAAAAAGTAAATAATTATAAGTATGTATGCACTAACCAATATACAAAATTAACTCGTTTAGATGATTGTATGTATACTGTTGGACAGTTTTAATCAATCTTATCCAATTTATTTATTCTCATTTTTTCCGCTCCATATATCTTATTTTTTAATGTTCTCTCTTCTTCCTCTGCTGCTTTGTGCTTTTACCTTAATCCTTTCTAATCTTATCATCCAAAAGTTTTTGCACTTAAAATAGCGTCTGAAACAAGTTTGTTGAGGTTAATTTGCATTTCGACTACTGTCAATGGCTCTGAATTGCGCCCTGGCATTCTCCCTGTCCTTTTCAACACTCGGTCTGGTTTGTTCTCCTGTTTGATTTCAGCTTTTGTTTTTCTCTTCTACCTTTCATTTGCTACTATGTAATACAGTTTGAATCGGTACCAGTTACCTATTTTACACAGTTGCAGAACATTACACTCAATGTCACTGTTTAAGCGTATCTTTGAAACTCCTCACTCATTTCCATCCAAATATCACACTTTCCATGCTAATGAAGTCAATTATTATTACTTTTCCGTCCATACTTCTTACTTTAAGATTTTATGTTAGAACATATTCGAATTTTATAAAATTTTCACCAAATATTACGAGAATATATTTTTTTTAGTTTAATCAGCCGAAATGTGGGAAATTTTGTCGCATTAAATCCTGAAATGACTTGTGCATTACTTTCTGACAAGATAATCGAATTGTTTCCTTTGAGAATGGTTGTGCACTTACTCCAGTAGTTCATGCTGCATTTTCCCCAAAAATCTTCTAAAATAAGTAACTGATTGAAAAATCACAGTCTGGCTGATGCTGTGCATTGAATGTAATGTTTCAAACTTTTAAATAAGATTCAATTGGTGGTAAAAGGTGGGTAGAAAGCAGAAAATTAGTGCTTGGTGCTTGAAAAATCGTTTCGAAAATATTATAATTAGAAAATATTATCATGCATTTTTCAGTAAGCTAAATTGTGATAATTTCTGCTCACAGTGATTGATCTAAGCTAACTACTAAACTAAAAGATCTGCTGGTGTTATTCATGTGCTAAAAATGCGATGAAATTTATACAAAGTAGTGATCTGATTCTCCAGTGCTTGTTGAATTTAAAGCCGATTGAAAGTGTGATTGCTCGTGTTTGTCTACGTATTGCTTAATGCAAACTATAGTGCAAGGAAGTAGCAGCGCGTACAGAGGAATAATTTGAACACCTGAAATTGAATCCGAAATTGAAGTGTTTTGTGATAATACTTTGCCGCTGCTAATCTATTTTTGTTTTGCTTTTTTACAGAGTTCATGGTGTAGAATGATTTTTTTACTATATTTATAAATGACTGATCTGTCATGTTAATACAAATCAGATTTTTTATTTGGTTCATTTAATCAATTTATTTTAATTCCCTAACATACTAACTATTTCTGCAAAATTTTTGCTATATTAGATGTGCAATGTTTCAAAATTGAAACAGCTATTCTTCTAATTTCAGTCTATGTCTTTTTAATCTTTTGAATCTTAAAAATTTGCTTAAGTGTTCATGAAAATTTTTTTGTATTTTAATATGTGATTAACTGTTATCGCAATCATTTTCATAAATTTATTTGAAAATTGCGGGTTGTGAAGGATGAAAGCCATTATTCTTTTATTATTAGTAGTCGTAGAAAGTGTTAAGCAAAGAACAAAGCCTCATCATATGTTTGAAGTAATCATATTCGATTTGTGATCAACATCAGTTTTACAATTTGTTTACGTAATAATTGAATTAATCTTTTGTAGCAAAAGGTAATTATTTCTTTTTCTTTCAACAGATGGATAAATAAATATGCGTTAATATCAGTTTTGTATTTATTCAGGATTTTATCGAAATTGTGGCACCACTGTACACTGATAAAACTGTTCGTACTATCACATCGAAAGAATATATAAGAAATAAACGTGCAAACACTTATTACACTTCTTATATCACTACAATTTCATTCGAGCAAGAGGTCTCAAAAATTCCTCTAAATCATTCTATAATAAATGTTAATAACACATTTTTGATGGATGATTACGGATACCACTTGCTAGAAATGTATAAACCAGTAAAGGACAGAAAATTAATGTTAACTACAATCCAAACTGCTATCATAGCTGGAACATTAATGTTAATTTTGCTGCTACAAATAATGATTTTGGTGTTATGTTTGGCATCACAGTAATTTGAATTTTTTAATTTTTCAAAATTGATATTTTATAAATAGTAATCATCGATTTTGTGTATCCCTTCTTTGGCTTAACATAAAAATGGAAATATTTTTGTAATTTTCGGTTGCTAAATGAAAAAATGAAAATATTCAAACATTGATGTTAAAAATAATGTAAATGAAATTTTAAAAGCAAAATGTGTCTAGAAAAAAACTACTGATGAATTTAAAAATTAAACTATTTTATTTATTCATTTGAATTACATTTTCAAAATGTTATAACAACACAGATGTTATATATGCTATAATTGTTGATTATATTAATTAAAATAATTTTCAAAAACATCGATTCAAACGCACGAGTTGACAACAAATAATTGGAAGTTTCGAAAAATTCAAAATTTGGAACTATTTGAGAACTGAATGACGAACTCATTTTGCTTTGTCAAAGTATTATTCTTAATGACTGCAGTTTTTTAAATTACAATCTCGAATTATAATAAAATTATTTATTGAACTGAACAATTTAAATACTTTTATAAAAAGGTTATACATATAAAAAATTGAAAAATTTTATTTTACATGTAATAATGCAGGTATTTGTCGCATTGACATTTGTTAATATTTTATAACAAGCAGGTATTTTTCACATTAACATTTGGTTCAACGTGATCCCACATTAAAAAATTTGAATACTTTGCTTTTTTACGTCTTAAACATGATAATTCAGGAAGTTTCTTCTTTTCGAACAATTTTTGCAAGTAATATCACTGAAAAAATTTGATAAGTAGACTGTGTTTTTAATAATCTATGAATTTTTACATGAAACATCAGTTTTGGAATTACATCAGTAAAAACTGAATTTTTATACGATTCCAAAAATGATGATGGAAATTGGATAATTAAGAATTATAATTTTTCCACGATTAACTCTTTTAACATTCATCATTATAAAACTATCAGTAAAGTACCGAAAAACCATAAAGAGCATACTTGCATTGACTTCAACACAGCCAACATTCGACTTTTTGTTCATTTTTTAAAAATTTGCATATTTTTTAAGCAAATATAAAAATTTGGCAAGAAACAAATTATAAAATGTGTCAGATGTACAATTACAAATAATATATTTTTAGCAAACTACGCTGTAAGGTTGCTCCTTTTTTAACTAAGGTTAAATAGTAACTGGTTTGCAAGTTTTTGCAGGCAAATTTTGAAAAAATACAATTTTGGAGAATTTGATTTTGAATTTCTTTCATAGTTAAGATGAGTTGAATCCTAGTAGAGCAATAGTAGAGATATTGTTGCCTGCAACTGAAGTAATAATTAACGAATGTATAATATTTGCGCCATTTATGTAAACAATTTTAGTACATACAATGGGCAACGTTCTGAAACGAAAATGTTCCAAAACAAACGAAATGGAAAATTCTGCCAAATTTGAATTGTACAGAAAACGTAACAAATCTCTTCCTAAGGTTTGACCTTATTTTAATTACATATTACTATTTAAAAACCCCGAAATATTAATCTCTTATAATGTTTTTGAAAATCTGTGAAATCTTGGTGTTCTATAAAAATTAGGATTTTAGGCTTTTAAATTAATATTCAAGGAAAAAACAATGAATTCTTAATCTTTTAAGAAATTATTACAAACTTGTGAAGTCTTGATATGTTTGTTCAGTTTTAAAGGTCGCTAAAATGTTAACATTCTTTAAAATTTTCAAAAATTTGTAAAATCTTAATTTATTGTAATAATATAAATTAAAAATTTTAAGAATCTTTTGAAGCAGATTTAAAGATTCCTAAATTTTTATATTACAATATTACAGGAGTCTTAGAAAAAATCTTATAAATTTTTAGTGAAAATCTTCTAAAGAATATTAAAATGTTTCAGTAAACCATTAAATTGACATTAAAATAATTGTTTACATTCGGAAGTTTCTGTTCGAATTTAGTTTTGCTAGCTTCAAAATTCGTTCTAATAAACAGTTATAAATTCATTCTTTCAAAAATAGCATTATATAAAGATAAGAAATAAACTAGCTTATATACGCAACATTAAATATGACAATTAAGGCAAAGGCTGAAATTATTTTGTCACTCGATGAAGAAAATAAAACAAATGCACAAGAAGGACAAGATGTAGATGAGACAGATTCTTGGACAACGTTAGTTCTAGTTAAACGTAGGACTCAATCAGTCATTACATAAAAAAGATTTATGATGAATAAATTTGCATAATTTAATTTTCATGCTAATTTATTAACTTGATCACAAAAATATGCATATAAAGTATTGACACAACAATTGAGGTAAACAAGAATAACGGTAAAGATTAGCCATTTTTTTCTACTGGTTCTTTGTAATAGCAAAGTTGTTAAGTGAATAATAAAAAATTCATATAACATCTCGAACTTTAAGTTGAAAACATGAAGTTTGGTTTCAAACTTTTCAAGCAAAGTTAAATAAGAACTCGACTAAAATCAAACTCTTGAATGTTCGTAGTTAATGTTTTCTATTTTTAACTCAATTTGATCGAGTTAGGAATCTAAAATATAAACTTTTTAGACAAACTTGATTTATATTAAATATAAAATTTTTATGATTAATGCTTACAAAAGTTAACGTTTATATATCAGGACCATTGGTACTAGATCTGACTTCAGTCTTAGTTGCCCAACAGATGACAGTGAAAGTGATGAACGATGCAGTGGTCGTCAAAATGTAAATAGTAGAAGTCATTCTTGCAATTGTGAAAGGTATCTTTTAAGTCATAAATTTAAAGTAATTAAACTTTATTATGCATATTACAGCTTGGCAAACACTTTGTATAAAATTTATTTATACGAATAATTGTAACTTTAGCTCATCTACAACGAGCAGCAGTGAAATTTCAAATACATCGGAAGATTTCTCATCACTTCGTAACTTAAGCGAAATCTCAGAGCACACAACAATGCCTCTCAGATCAAATGACATTGCATGGATGAAGGCTGTGCAAACATACAACGAAAATGAACCCATCTTCCGTAAAAAACCCTTCGTATGCTACAAATTTACATGCTAAATTGCATTTTCTACATATAGCAAATCACTTAAAAGAGCAAAAAATTATAACTCTTCACTAATTGCTAATTAATTATAATAATATTTACTTAGCACTAGAAAATAGATATGCAGTTATCTACACAAAAATTATTGAAATAAACTTATTTCTGCTTATTCAAATTTTCAATTTTCTAAATTTATTTAAAAAATTTTTAAAAAAGTAGTAGAGCTTGAATTTTTAATTTCTTTCGCTAAATTTGTATCTAATTATATCTACATAAACAGAAAGCTGCGCTAAAAATACGGCCACGGAAATTATTTCCACGCTATCGATGGCATCAACTTTATCATCAGTGGGCCATTAGACAACCTCCGATGCTTTACAGGGGTATATATTTTAACAGCTTTTGTGAATTATTTCAAAATTATTAATGAATGAGTTTTCTTCAGTCAAGTTTTCAATTTACCTACCAAAACATACATTTGCTTAAAAGCTATGACTAAATTGTTGTAATTAAAACACATAATTAAAACAAATTATTTAAAAATTAGTAATTAGATATAACTATTATCATCTTAAAATCAATAATCAGTTCATGACCTCTTGCAAAATAACAGATTTAAGTATAATTACACATTTAATTTATAGGTAAGCACTTGGCAAAATATAATCTCTGCTAATTAATCCTAATAATATTCACTATCATTAAATGCAGATTTAGTTATTGCAATAAGAATTTGTAGTTTCAAATCATTTCCACTTAGTCAAATTCTTGAATGAATTTTCCTAAATGTATTTATTTTGACTCTGATTCTATCATTATAAGTAATCGACATAAAAGTTAGCATAATTCAAAATTACTTTGTATTAACTTTGCAAAAAGCATAAGAGGAACCTACGCATGTTTTATTTTATCTAATCCCTAATTCAGGTATTAATATTATTAATTCCCAATTGATTTTCTCACAATCGCAAATATTGAATTCTATGAGGAGAAATATACTTAAGTATTAGGTGTGATTTCAGGAGACGATGCATATATTAATAAAGTGATCGTAGAACAAAGTGATATAGACTTGGCTATGTCTGATCTAAGTCGTGGCATACTTTATTACAAATCCAGCAAGTGCTAATTTACTTTAATTTTAAGCACATAAATTAATTAATCTTGCTATTATCACTTTCAAATGCTTCTTTAACTCTTATCAGCCACATTAATTGAAACCACATACATCACATGTTCACTTAATTATAATCAAAGCACTGCTTATCATTTAAATATTTAAAGTGGTATTAATTAATGTGAGCAAATTAATCAAAAAGTTCCGTGACATTGTTACTTTAGAATACTTCAGAGAAAAAATCCACTTTAATTGTGCACAAATACATTTCCCTTTAAAAGCTATCACAAAATTTGTTTCATGTTTGCCTGTTTACTATTTTAGTAGATAAATTTAAATCCAAAATTTACTTTTTAATAAAAGTATTGTAAAACAGACTACCGTCTGACAACCGATTTCTACCAAAATTATAACTGACTCATACTTGCGCTCTCCAAAGCTCATCTTGTAACTGCAATTAGCTTTCTACTGCAATTTTTTGTCAATTATTCTAAACTGCACAAGGTACTTTAGAACGTGCATAATTACCACAGCTGTAATGAATATCCAGTTGCTTTTATTAAGACCATTATAGAATATAGTGATTTTAGAAAAAGTACTTCTGAAACCACTAATTCCACTAGTGCACTGCGTTTCTTCATTAATCTCTATTCTAAACTTTATTGATTTAAAACTTGTAAAGCACTGAATCTTTTCATCCCAGCTACTATTGTACCCATTCTCGTACAAATTCAATATTGAGTGATTAATATATAGTAATTATAAAAAGCAGCACCGTATTAATGTACAGCACCGTATTAATATCAAACGAATATTTATTTGATTTTCTTTTCAAGAAAATAATTGAAAATGATAGTGACTCAATTTTAAGAAACCCAACAAATGCATTCAACGATAAATTATGCAGTGTCGAAAATAGTCTCAGAAAATAAAAATGGAGCATAAGTACTCAAATCCTTGATAGTTAAGAAATATAAAAATTCCTATATAGCTTTTCTCTACATCTTTTTTCATATCAAAAAATTGACTCTTGAACTCATTGCAAAACCACATATTCTCTTATAAATTACGCAACTAGAGGTAAAATTTCATAGCCAATTTCTGCAAGCACTGATTATTTTACAGTATTCAAAATACTGTTGAATTGATATCCAGTCTAAAATATTAAAGATCAGCAATGAAAATATCATTTGAAAACAGATTAACATCACTATGAAACTACAAAGTAACGAAGTAAACTGAAGCGAACATTGGAAAAATACAAACATGATAAATGATATAACGTACTAAAAACAAAGTCAACAATAATACTGATAACAAATTCGTGACAAAAATGAGCATAATCAAGAACAATCCTAAAACTATGCATAATACTGAAGAATCAGAGATATGACTCATTATGAAAAATACCTTGCATTTCGAAATCCATAACTTTTGATGTTTTCGCACTTAATTTACAGCGTTGGCTGAGATAGTTAATAACAAGAATAAAAACCAATTCATCACATCCAGTTTCTTCTTCGTAACTGCGTTGGAGTTAAAGAGGTGTCTGGAACACTCCAAAGAATTGGTTCCCCAGGACTACCCCGCGGACTCAAACATGTAGAATGCGATGAGAACGGTGATCTCAATACACTCTTATCATCAACCTCAGTCGACCGCGAATACCATTCTTTAATCATTTTACGAAAATAAAATTCACTTGCTTGCTTTAGTTTATAAGAACTGCACAAAGTAAGTTTGATAAAATAACCATTTTTAATATGTGAATATTCCAAAATTACTGGAGACATTTTAGAATTATAAAGAAGAAATAAAACAAAAAAAAACAATAACCTCGACGATTTTTGTTGAAAAGTCCATCCACTGCATCAAAACTAACATTTTGATCAAAGTTAAGCCAAGGAGTTGAAAAACTGTAGCCCTTCCAATATGCTAGAAGCAAATTCCGACAAATAATCTTGCTTACAATATCTTGATCAATTCTTCAACAAAAAAAGGAAAAATTTTTTTAAAAACAGATCTTCATAATGATGGGATCTAAAGAAAATTAGTTGATCAAGATCAATTCTTGGGAAACTAAAGAACATAAAAATAGAAATTAGAAACCTATCAGGATAATAACAAATCCAGCAGTAATAAATGACATGAACACTTGAAAAACTGTTGATCCAAAGATCGCATTTAAAAGACCCATAAAATGTTCCGAAACTGCAAAAAATAAAAGTCCTTAATATTAAAAAATATCTGCAATAAGATAAATAAAAAATGGCAAAAAGTAATGAAGGAATACCGCGTATGACAATTTTTGAAGTGTCTCCGTGAAGAACAACAGTTACCGGTATTTCTTCATACTGACCAGTAACTGAACACCTTACAGTAACAGTGCAGTTATCTGATACTTCTCGCCACAACATTACCGAATAGAAGTTCAACTAAAAAACACTGAATAAACAAACCAAAACATACAATAACGTTCTTCAGACTCACTTATAAAAGCAATTAAGATGAAAAAATAAGTATCATAAAAAGAGTACTGGATACTAACAAACATACTAACTGAAATGCAATTGAAGTTTTCAGTAAGCGAAACTATAAATTTGTATTTAAGATTGTAAACTGTTCAGACCTTGATACGATATAACAGTTCATTTGGTGTTATAGACTGCAGTTGTTCTATGAGTAGCACATTTCGAACATCTGTTTCTACTCTGATTTTCTGAGCAGCAGATGCAGAAGAATGTATAGTAAGAATAGCTTCTAAAGTGTCAACGTTATCCAGGTATATTTCACGTGGAATGACTTCGAAACGCGAATAAAAAGTAGTTGATGCCTTGGCTCCTTTGACCTAAGACATTGTTACATCTATCTACTTGACTCAGACATTTTTCCATAATTTAAATATAGATGAAGATTTCCGTATTCCACGTTTGGGTAAACATAAAATATAAAGTTTTCTTAAATCCATAAAGGCAAAAAAATAATTTAAACAGACGTACTTTTCCCGCTTTATTCCACACAGCAGAAATGCCTAGAACAAGTTTGTCGTACTTCATTAAAGCAAATGGATCATCAAACGTAAGCTCTTCCAAAACACAACCATATTTACCTTGAAAAGCAACAGGAAAATTATGAAAAAATTGTGAATAAACTTGACTGTTTCTTCTTATCTATTTTGAAACAAATTATTCAAAACAAAAATAAGTTTTCCCTTAAAAATTAAAAAATTTTGTTATTGCCGGAAATAATTGCAAACAACGGGAATGTCTCAAGGGCAATAGCTACTAGAGCATGTATTAAGACCTCAACTTTTAAAATAACAGTTTCTTACCCAAACTAGGTAGAAAGGCAGAGCGAACACTGAGTAAAGCTGCAGCTATCACATCAACTTCTTCTTCAAAATAAATAGAACAATCGAAAGGTGCATTTAAAGTAAGGTTTGCCAATTCACCATATGTACAACCTGAATCACGAAAAAATCTAAATACTAAATACTTTATCGATCTGAAGTTTTACTTGATAATGGCTTGAAATTTGAAAAATGCTTTACTTGCTTAGCCTGAAAAAGTAAAGATTTTTGGTTACCTCCTTAAAAGATAAGATGCATAATAACAACTAACTGTGATTGACCACAAAAATTAAAATAGGAAGATTTTGGGGCTCAAAAATATGAAAATATACCATGAAAGATAGAAGAATTTAACTCGTCGCTCCCAATAACGACAGAAAATAAGTACTGGTGATTTTGTATGTTAGAAACAAAGTGCGGAACCGATGAAAAACGTAATGAATTTGCAGGAATAATTTTGCGCTGTAAGAATCGAATTTTCAAGGAAATTAAGTTGGAGATCAAATTAATTTAAAAGTATAATTCAGTAGCTACGTACAATTAGTAGGTTTAGCTGAAATTTAAAAGTCAATTTCAACAATAAAATCATAAAAACTATGAAATAAAGTCTTTATCTCATGTGAATTCAGCAATGAATCACAGAAGTTTTACAGAAATTAAAAGACTATTACTTTTAAAGTCATAACATCATTAATAAAAAAAAGTCACCTCGTTCAAGATAAATATTAAGAATTTACAACTGCAGTGATAATCATACTAACCTGTGCCTCAACATAATGTACGAAACTTTTACCTTGGTAAAAATTGTTTGTTCATGATAATTTTGGGATGCAACCACTGAGTTCCCCGTACTGACTGCTATAGCAATGCCATTTTTCCTATCAACAAAGTGAAAATGTTTCTTCGTTTCGAGTTCCTTCCATTCTGATGTTGGCAAAGGAGATTTGAAACAAACAATATCGTAAAGAACAACGGAGTGTACAGAAGGCTCAATTACATCGCTCACAGGTACTCGCAAATAAACACTAAGTTCTTGATTATCGTTATCCCACACCTGGCAATAGTGACTAATAACTAGATATTATATATTAGTTTCAATTTTATCAGTTAAAATTTACAGCTTCATATACGAACTTACTACGTTACCGAAACACTAATTGCTCATATATGTATCATTACTACTAAGCAATATACTAATTCACAAGCATCATAAATATCTGAACAGAAAAATAAAATGTCAAATAATGAAGTATGAGCAAAAGCATAAACTTCATACATATATGAGGAACAAATATTTATTAATAACTTACTTTGAAGACAGTTTCCCCAACGTGATTCAAGTGTATGTCAAATGCTTTGTTCTCATTTCCGGCATGGATTTCAGTCAAATCAAAACTTAAATATATTTTTTCAAACAAATAACATTATACCATTGCAAAAGTTATATTTATAAATGATGTAAATTCGAAGAAAATTAGCAATACTCGAACTAAAAAGTCATTTCGATAAAAGTAAGAAACTTTGATAAAAAGTTTCTCATGATATTTCACTTATTATAATGCTTTATTGATTGAATTAACTTCTTCAGATACGAGAAGCAGTGGAAAGACTAATACATTTAAATTATTATTTACCGATTTGGTCTGTATCTCAGTGAATGTTTCGAAGCATCGAACAAACGGCCTAAATGATCTCTTGACTCCACTTCAACATGCAAATGGTAACCAAGAGGTAATGTTGACAATGATGATTTTGGTAATTCAGAACAATCTGTTTTAAAATGGAGCGATGTCACAGAGGAAACCTTAAAACTCAATCATTAGCATTTACAAAAGCACCGATTTCTAACTACAAAAAAACTAAATATGTTCTAAATTAAATTTTTGATGAGTTTTTAACAACTCAAACTATTTTGTTAAAAACTCAAGATACACTAATAAATGAGTGAAACCTACAGAAACTGGCAAATATAAAAGCTCCTCATACATATCCCCCATTTCTTTTAGTATTAAAGCGGCGTCTCCAACAGAGTGAGCTTTCAAAATGGAACGTGTATCACCAATAACTGACACATAAGTAGATACGTCAGAGGGTACGATAAACTGAACTAGACCATCTTTCCTAAAACATGATTGATGAATTCACTAGCAACCATTTTAACAGACACTATTATAGAAGTCCTAATATTTAAAAGTAATTTTTTATTCATAAGTAATTTGACGGAGTTTTTCACAACTTCATTTCTTTTTGGGTAGAATAAGAAGGATAAGAAGTGGTAGAACAAAAAGGAGGATAAAAGAAGAAATACCGCACCTGGAATAGTAGTAGAAAACAATAAAAAAGAAATGAAGTTGTGAAAAACTCCGTCAAAAATGTGAGAGACTCTTCAGTGTACTGGAACGAGGAAGAAGCAGGATGATTACACTCGAAGTACTCATGCGAGGAATCGAGGTTCTACACAGCAAGATACTTGACACAAGAAAAAATATGCTACATGAGTCTAAGGTTTATCTACTCTGTACTGATGCAAGAACCCCAAGGACGTGAGATAAACTAGACAAAGTGGGCGCGAAAGAATCTCGCAGAATATTAACTCGTTTATACTTCGAGCGATCAACCAAATGGTGTGTGAATATGCCAAACAGAAATCCTTCAATTCAATGAATAATCTTACAAGATAGATGCAGGGGGCACAATAATGCTATGAAGAATAAATGACAAGGCAAGAAAAGCCATCAGGGTAGTAAGCAAGAGTAGAAAAGAAGATAAGCTTGAATAACTTTCACAAAATCTTTTTAGAGCAGTACTAGCTGATGAAAAACTCGAAAGTATAGATCTAAGAGAGGCCAAGAAGTATGTGAAGGGCAAGAATCTCATACTTGCTTTTAAACGTAATTTTCATGAGACTTCTAAGCATCCTAAGAAAGCGCGTAAGTTTATGAAAGCAAAATTAAAAGTTATGAGTTCCGATGTCACTAAAATACAATACATATAATGAATCATTTATTTGCGGATGATGATTTTAATCATTTATTTGCGGACGATGATTTTATGATGATCTCACGACCATTGCTATCATGAAAGTGATAGCCGAAGAAGCTCAGGGAATTTTTGAAATAATATGGTTAGTGCAAGTAATACTGGAAGCGCTGATAAGGGGGTGCTCTTGAGCTCAAGGGAATAATGGACGACAGGACAACTGCACAACCCGAGAAAGTTATGATAAATTTCCAACAGAGAGTTTGGTGAGGGAAGAGCGATTAGCAAAAATTGCACTGAACGGCAAGAACTTTATCAAGGCACTAAACGAGCACGCCATAGATTTAATAAACTGTTATACTGTAGTGCTTAAACTGGAATCAGAAGATTTTTAAGTGAGTAACTAAGATATCAAGAAGTTACTAAATAAGTACAGAATTCACAATAAAGCTGCATGTTCAGAGATATTGTACGAGCTAGGACATATACTTCATTATGTTAAGCAAAAGAGTGAGCTCATGCTTCTGCAGCTTCATGACATACTTGTGCAAACCACACCGACACCGATTACGAATACGGTGCTTCGAAAGCACAGAAAGAAGGAGAAGGCAGATAAGAGAGAAGGCAATCATTATACTCTATGCCTTGTAGACAGTCGAAAACGTTTCAGTAGCTTAGAAAGAAGTTTTGCATTGCATGATAAAAAAGAATATCCATCATGCAAAGCTATACAAGGTACGCAGAAACAAGCTGTCTTTAAAGGCCGATTTATCAATGTGGTTGCGATTCGAAGCCCTTAAGCCAAATCGCGATACCGCCATCTCCAAGAGAGAAATGTGTTTGGAGAAAGCATTCTAGAGAACGTATACCAAAGAACGATGAACTGGCTCGGTAGTGCGAGAAAATTTTACTTCATGACTACACTAAAAGACATAATGAGGAGCCGCGATGCATGCATTTAGGACTCTTAAAGAATATGGTCTGAAAACATTCTCACCTATGGGGAGCGATTGCGTTCAGAAAATCGTCGCTAATAAGAACGTGAAGAGACGACACTCAAGTAAGAACAGTGATTGAAAATAATGGCAGATTGATCGGACATCCTGGTATACGATAAAAAACGACACGAAGTATTCCTGATAATGGTTGGCATCACTGGTCAGGACCGGGTGATAGCAGTCGAGACCGAGAAGAAGCGAAAGGCTAAACGGATCAGAGATAATATGCAGAGCGAGAATAATTTTATATGTGATGACTTGAAATGTGATAGTGACGAACTTCTATAGACGTTATGCGAAGGAAATCAGTGTATCTGATCGAGGCATATATCCAGTTTACAAAGTTCAAGAAAACGTTCTAAAGCATCTTATTCCATCGCCGCCAAGGATTCCACAAGGAAGAAGCACCGCAGACCAACAAAGAACTGAGCGCTGAGAAGTGCAACAAGAATACTAAAGTACGATTTGGTACAGAATCAATAGTGTATAAAAGAAGATTAACCTACGATAATAGTCATGACCAGAAATATTAACCAAATAACAACATCATAAACAACAGCGAACAGCAATCAGATCATTGATTAACTCCATAGAAAAACAATCTTACCTATTACTTTTCAAAGTGAGTTCTGCATCTGGAGAGATCCGCAACACTTCAGGGTGTAGTACTGGCTTGATTAGCTGTATAGGTTCAATGACAGTCAATATAATTTCGTCATCATAATGTTGGATGAGTTCGGGAAACCCTCCCAAAAATGTTGAAATGTTAACCGACAGACGAATCACAGCTTGTCCAGCTGCCAATGCTTTCACTTCTATTTGAAATCGATTTTCTGACGATTCAGAAACCAAAGCCTACAAAATCACCTCACAATTACAACAAATTTATCAAATAAATTCAAAAAGTACAAGAAATTTTCTAGAAGATTTATATGAAATATTGTCGCCAATATTTTCTAAGGCAAGCTACAAATTGTTATTTGTCGCAAACCATAATTACAATGATCTAGGTATTATTATTATCGAAACCTACCTCACCTATTATGAAATTAAGCCCTTTTTCTTCTGCAAATATTAATAACAAAATCAAGATATTGATTTCTGCAAATATTAATAACAAAATCAAGATATTGTCAGGTTTAAGTCTTCTTGTCAATGATTGGAAATACTTACACCAAAGGGCGAAACAGCTTCAATTATACCAGGGGTGGCAATTGTCCAATATATATGTAATGGATAGAGCGCACCACCAAATGAAAATGGCGTCTGATCCTCAGTAAGACCATCCAAACGTGCCCATGCTTTTTCACCAACTTGAATTCGTAATGTGGAGAGGCGTATACGGACTCCAGAAAGCAAAACTGTTCTAACGATTACCTTATCCTGAAATAATATCACAGAAGTTCGTGATGAATCAATAATTTTAAAGTATTTTCATTTATTTGCTTTACAATGCTGGTAATAATGAAAAAGAAATATGCAGAAATTAACCTATCAAAATTAAACCTGAATCGGTGCATTATTTTCCAAGTCAACAGAACCAATAATTTCTGTATATCCGATAATTTTACTGGTTATAAATCCATTCGGTGATATGTCTGCAGCCGATGTGTTGTTGAGATGAAAATGTAAAGGTGGCAAAGGTTGCGGACCACCAGATATCTCCAGCTAAATAAATTTCTGAATTCTTTTAGTAGACAACTATCATAAAGTGAAATTTTCATTTACCTACTTAATCAAAAATATAATTCTTCAACTTGAAAGGACCCTAAAACACTGTAAAACATAATGTTACAAACTTTAGATGGTAGTAAGTATTTAAATAACTATTATCAGTATTTCGGAGTTCATAACTAATAGTAGAAGAAAAAAAAGTAAATAGATGTTAACAACATACAGCTTTAAATATTGATACCTGAAAAACTGAATTTGGGATCAAAGTTATAACTTTCGGCTGCAATTGTAACGGCGCATACACTTGTATCCTATGTGAATGACTCTGTAGGATTTGCCCATTAGCACGTCGAGCAGAGGCACGAAGAGTTACAACGCCAGTCATTTCACCACGTAATGTATAATGTAAAGAATCAATTCTGAAATAAGCAAATATTCAATGGTGAATAAAATAACGACATAACAACATTATTCTAAACTAGTGATGAATTCGGGTGTATAATTTTAAATTAAGCGATTTTATATATTTGAGGAAGATCTTTATTAATTAATGAGAAGAAATAGAATAAAACACCTAGTAAGAGTCACAGCAGTCTTTGATGAATTCACTTGCACATCCATGACATTAGCATCATCTGTTACAAAAAAAGAGCCTTCAACATCCCGAATTTTTAAATGTAAGTTTTGTTCGCTATGCAGTGCAACCTACAACATAAATCATGTATTTCCATTCTTATTCAAAGATACCTTTTAAAAAAATTTATAAAATATAGATTTTAAGCATGACATAAATGAAAAAGCACTACAGAAATTTGGTGTTTCGATCAAACTAATGTATGTTACGGGAAAAAATTTTCATTCGACTTTTCGACTACTAGCATGTGAAATTTTGTAAAAATATTAGTAGAAATGTAAAAATAAATATCAAATACTCACAAAGTGAGGTGCTTCAATCAATATTTCTTCTACTTCAGAGATCGAAATCGTAGCTGTGAAGTTCTTTTCAGTACATAAATCCGTAAAGTGAAGTACAGACTTACCCACAGTCAATGGACGAACCTCAAAAACGGGAACTGCAGCAACACTTGAAAACGGAAGAAAAAAAAGCAAACTGCAGCAACTGCGGCAAAAAATGCTTAACAACTCAAGAGAAATCAGCAACTAAATAAAAAAAAATACGAATCATAATTTTGGAAAATAATTACCTGCGCTATGTCAGTTTGCATTTTGACGTCCAGCATTGCTGTGTCATAGGGTCTTAAAGAAAAATATCCCGAACCACCAACCAGACGAATATCTTTTGTAGCTTTTTTTTCGTTTAATAATATAACCGTTGATGGTAATGCTTCTGCATTTTCGACTAGCGTGATCTGCATCTTACTTTGTAACATCTTCGGTAAACAGTGTTTCAAACCATCAAGCAAATATTCATACGCCGTTGCAAAAATTTGAACATGGCCAACAATATTTTGCGGTTTCAGTATCCCATATACTAAATATGATGTAAAATCTAGCGTTAAAATTATCTATATTTTACTTTGTATATCATAAAATATAATTTTTAGTAAAAACCTTACTGTCATAAGTGGTCTGAAATTCTTCGACAGACCAATGGGTTTAAATAACAATTTTTGTCTCCTCTTAGTCAAATATTTAAATAACAATGCTTCTAAATAATTCTAAAATAAATATACTTTCACTTGAGTACAGTCCTCGTTCACTTTCATCTACATGTGCTATATTGCTATCACTTAGACTCCAGTTAAGTCTCAGTGAAGTTAATGAAAGAATTTGCTGTTCTAGGCCCACTGATGGCCCAGATTTGCAGTGCCCAAAAGCTTCCACAACTATGGTTGATGGTTGACTAAAGCTTACTGCATGCTGCAATACAAGTTTGTATCACATTTTTTGAAAAAACTTCTCAAGTTTTATCGGAAAAAAACAAGATTTGAACTGAATATGATATCAATTATGTAATAGAAAGTAAAAAGTTTGAAATCAATATGAGCCACAAAATATTTAATAATAAAACAATCTTACCACTTTTGTCGGGCATTTATTACCCAAAGAACGCTGCAGAGACAACAATAAACGCGAAGGCACTCCACAACAAACTCGGAATTTTGCTTCGGCCACAGCAGGCAGCGGATTTGTGTAAGAGGCTTCGTTACCAGTAACAATGGTAACTTTCTACACGTTATAAACACTGTTTTGTACTACATTATCAACAATATAAATTAGTGGCTAATTCTGATAAAAACCGAATTTTTCATATATAAGAAAAAGAAATAACATCACTATGAAATCAAGTAACATTTGGAAATCAATAACCAAGACACCAAATCGAGTTAATGGCAAGAAAATACAACTCACAACATCGCCTTCGTTTTCTCGACAGGTAATAATCTTGCGATCATTTTGAGAAGCATTTTCAGTGATCAAAGCTGATGCATTGCTGTACGTCACTAAAAAGCAGTGTTAAACAGGACGCAAGAATTACTAAATTACCAAGATGAATACAGCCAAAAAAAGATAAAAGATACATTTCGTGTAATATTTTGAAGGGTCTAGAACCCATGGTCTTGGACCGCCAGATGTGCGAACATAAAAACTGCTCCCGTGTAAAAGAAGTAATTCTGTAGGAGTTTCCAACTGTAAATTTCATTATATCACAAACAAATAATGCAACGCGAATAATTTCATCTCATTCCGCGAAAATACTAAAAAATTTATTCTATCGTAAGTACCGACATCGTTAAAAATTTTTAGATAAACTCTATGCAGAACAAAAAATTACTCTGAGCGGTGGGTAAGCAGAAATTAGAATTGAAGCTGACATAGCACCTAATCGCACAGTTACAGTGGTGTCACCAGAATTAAGAGCAGTCAGCACAAAGCTCGAACAACCATCACCTTGCAATGAAACATATGGAGAATGCTCTGAAATTCGTTCAATCCAAAACTTGATAAAATGAGCCAGTATTTTCCGTTAATATGATATTTCAGACTCAAAAATTTTAATTCTTCAGAAACTCACGCGATGAAATTTTGAAGATGTTAGAGTCTTGTACTTCAAACAAAAAATTAAGTTGACGACAATCAGATATGACGATTTTTTCATCTCCCATGGAAGCGTAAAGAGAAACGAATAAAACCAAATCATTACCAATCTGTAATGCTTTTTTGAGTGATTGGAGATTTTTTTTAAAATTATTTTCATTATTAAAATGGATTTGTTTACACTTCAATATATTCTGAATTTCGATTCACCATTTACATTAGATTGAAAGTAATGTTCAGAACATGGAATTTTGAAACATGTATGCAAATGATGCCCCCTGCTTGCAATCTCAATTATTTTTGAGAATTGTTTGGTGAAAAGGATTCTGATAGCATCGTTTTGATTGATAAAAATCTATTTAAATTAAAAACTTCTGCTTCGATATGTGATGTGCCAAATGCAATTCCAGCGGGTTCTACAATCTGAACAATAGCTTGTCCGAAATGATTAACGTTTTGCAAATCTCGAGCAACCACTTTCGTTTTACCGAGCTTTCTAGATGAAAGAATACCACTAGAATCTATGAACGCAATTTCTGGATTCTCACTTGACCAAATAAATGAACCTGTACCACCTCGCGCCTGAAAGTAATTAAATGAAATAAAAATTCACATTTATAACGAATTCAGAGATTGAACTGACAAGGCACATGTACATAAAAATAAAGAAACCGAAAGTTTTGCTGAATTCATCTTCTTGTCATCAGTATAAGGAAACACAACAACTGGAGGTGAGACTTGGACTGGTTCTGATATCGTAGTAGTCACTTCATCCTTTATTGATGGCAAAATTTTTCGTTCCGAGTCCTATGAGACATTTAAAGATTAGCATGTCAACGTCACATTATACATGATGAAGTAAAAACACACAGGAAATAAAATAAAACAGAGACAGTAATAGAAAGAAGCAAGAAAAAATGCAACTAGGCTGGTCAGTGAAATGAATGCTGCTTGTAGCTTTGTGACACCACTTTTTATAGCTTTAACATCAAAGCATGATCCGTTAATAGATTTCCTGATTACAGTGAAGTATTCGTCTGGTATAGAATATTTAAAGTTCGCATTCTAAAAAACTGAAGCAAATTACCATTAGAAGAACGAAGAATTCACTGCTAAAAGTATAAGTAAGGATAGAAATGAAGCATTAAGGATAAATTACCTCAGGTACATGTAGTATATGATTACTGTCATCAACGATAACAAAAAAAATTTGGTATTCTCGTCCTTTTTCTAGATACCACGAATCCCCACTGATTTTAATTGACAAACTCATAGGTTCAACCACATGGATCCGAGCAGACGGTGGTTTTAAAGTATTTGACGACTTAACATCTAAAAAATAGAGAGACTAAGTTTAAGTAACATTAATAATTTCGATATTACAGCTTAACACCTTGTGGATATTTTATGTATTCCTTGAAGAAAAAAGAAGAACGAACTTTCGTCGATAATCGATATCTCGGTTGTTCCGTATTTAAGAGCCACTACCATAGAAGTTTGTGTGTCTAATGAACAAATTTCGGAATTGTTTATGACTAGGTGGTACTGTTTTGCAGGTAAAGTGATTTCTGCAAACCGAAGCACGTAAATACTATCAAGAGTATGAAATATCAGTTACATAGGCAATGTAAATTGGTCGGATAACTCACAAAATATGTGATATGAATATGACAGCTAATTTTTACCTTCTGTGATACCTTGTTTTATAATTTCTGCAGAATAATGCACATATGACCCAAGCGGAACATATATGTCTTGAGACGGTACCAACAACAGATTTGCAACTACAATGAGATCCACTCTTTGAGCTTCCACATTCTTAAAAAATACTAAATATAAAAATCGGTATACTGCTGAAATACATAAAAATATCCACAACGTATCAACAGCTCATAAAAAGTAGCAAACTTTGAAATGAGATTCGATCAATTTTGCTTCAAGACTAGCAGCACCCGTAGAAATACCCTCTACCAAAATTACATAGCCTAAAAATACGAGTATGAAGTAGTGACTAGAAATATGACTGCTCCGCAAGCTTCAACACTGCTTTCCAACTCATAAACTTCTTTGTAATCAGTTTCGACTGCAATATGTAAACTTAACTTTTTTTTTAAACACCAGATCTAATACAACAGCAGAAAATGATTATAACTAAAAAAATCCTGAAAAGTCAGTAATGGTCTTTATAACAGCCACTACAAAAAATCCCTTTATTTGTAAGAAAAACAGCAAGAGTTCCAAAATGCAACTCTTGCTTGGTATAGAAAAATCAACCTCGCTTTTTGTTGTCCTCCAGAAAACGCACTCCATCAGGTGCCTTATACTTTGATTGTGAAAAGGGTACAATTCGGAGAGGCTTTTCGGATGATGATTCTAAGTGCCATTCAAACGGTATTTCTCCAAGATTCGTGAACATATCCCCTACAATAGATAGAGGATGAATTTTATTCACGATAAAATACGGTTATAACGAAAATATGCAATAATAACATACTATACAAGTAGTATATTACTTTTTAAAACAAATCTTATTTGAAAATAATGTATCACAGCAAAAATAAAAGTAGTGCTGTCCAACGTAAATGATTAACCTTCAGCATTGTAAGCTTGAATAACGACTTTTGCAGGCGATGCATCCAGAAACAATACTTTTGTTGTCGTCGATATTATAATACTCCGTATAACATCAACTGTGACACCACAGGTTAAAACTATACCTGCATCTGAAAAAAATCAAAGCATCTGCAAAGAATTCAGGCTTACTTACTTTTAGATGAGCTAATATCTCATTTACTTTAATTCACAAGTTCAAGTTTCAGTTTAAAACTTTTATCTCTGATTTTCAATCTTATTTTAGGTAGTGGGATTTTTTAACTTCAGCATTCTAAAATGAAACAGAATTATTCATATATAAAGGTTTTAGTCCATACTAAAAAATATAAATGTGTTATGGCATAACTACCAAAAATAAATTTGGGAAGATAATAATGCTGTGAACCTTTGAAAAATTTATAACAGGAAAAATCGCTAACGAGTTCGACAAAATAAAACAAACTTAAATTTGACCCACAAAACAGGTAAAAATAATTAGATTAACTTACAATACCTTTATTTTCTGCAAAAATAACGGCTGTTTGTTCATCAGAATACTTTGACGTTGCAGCAATCCGAGCTCTTGATGAGCAATCACTTGTTTTGATCGGATTCAATACTTTTATTGACACAACATCTGGCCGTGTTGTTCGCCTGAAATTTATAAGTAAAAAAGTGAATGAATCATTAGAAAACTGCATCAAAGAAAAAAACTATTTTTAATTTTAATATTTCAAAAACCTAATTTTTCTGAAAAGTATTTTTTACAAATTTTTGACAAATTTCCAAGTAAAAGAATTAACAAAACAAAGCCTTTTTTGAAATTTTATAAACAGTTAAAAGAGAGGAACTGTAAGCTGAAGGTATTCTTATATTTAATTAATTATATTTTCTAACCATGAAAAGCATCCATCTTCTGGATCACTAACAGTCAAATCAAAGGTTACTTGCACATTTGGATGATAAGGTAACAATACGCGCGGTACATTCAGACGATAAGTACTAGCTAGTACTGTGAAATACCCAAACAGCAAAACATTCAATACACTCATTACACTGAAAAACTGATAACAATATCACTAAAAAGTAAACAAATGTATGAAAATTTAACGAATCGATTTTAAAATTTTTATCATTTCATTCTTACAACTTTCCATGAACAACTAGTTCAAGTGAAAAAAATAAGCCAATGCATCCAAATTTTAAATTCAAATTATCGCTCTGAACTTCATCAAACCCAACCTTAAAAAAAGTTCATGCACGACTTCGTTTTAGATTATTTAATCGTTTCTTATTTCAAACGAATCTTTAATCACACGTTATTAAAAACAAGCATTACAAAAAAAGTCATAATAATCATAAATATGGTACCAAATTTCTAAACCAAAAATAACCACTTTACGCAATAAGTCAGAAACATTTAAGAATAAATAAATAGTCGTGAGTATTACAAACTAAATTTAAATAAAATTAAGAAGTAGTAGAATTAAAATAATAAGAAAAGGTAGAAAACAACACAGTGCTCAGTATTAGAGATTGTAATAAGATGAAATAATACAAAATTTAGTGAATCTGCTCTAACTTGCTGTATGATTTCTTAGTAATCGATGAATGCTAAAGAAGCTACTTCTGTTGACTGAAAAAAAAATTTTGATTTAAAATAGAAAAACAGTGATGGAAGGTTAGATTAAAACATAATTTTTGCAGTCTTGCCAGTCTGATCAGGCAAATTATTACAGTAACAAGTTATACCTGAAAGAGTACTATGATAACGAAGGTTATAGCTGAAAGAGTACTGTAATAAACAAGTTAAAATATTACTCATCGTAAGACAAACTTAGATTGCAAGACTTGGAATATTTCTAATTTTGATGCATTCATTGAATTTAAACGTTTGAACCGATAATTTGCATTTCAAGTCCAAACCGTGAAATATGCAGCGCACTCTTCCGTTTGAAACGATGCATCTTCCAATAGGCACAGAGGAATGTGTAACTGTTATACTTTATGTTAAGCATGGAGAAATGCGCACTAGGACTCTTAATATTTCAAATAACTACAAAGATTTGAATTTCTTGAAGAAACTGATGTTTAATTGAAACTGCTGTGATGTATTCAATCAAGGAATCAAAATGACGCTCTCTAAAATACAATTCAATTGATGGCAAGCCTGAACTTTGAGGCCAACAATTTTTCTCAGATGTTTAATAATTCTGTAAATTAAAAAATATCAGACGTTAAAAATTTTAGTCTGAATTTCATCTGTAATCGTTGTCTAAGGGTGTTAAAATTATAGGTGTTAAGGTTGGCCCACTTTTGTATCACACGAATGTCGTTTTAATTCAATTTTACATGGCTTGATTTAACATCTCATACTGAATCCCATCGTAATTTTCTTGAATGTTTTTGAATCTTTTTCAGTCTTTTAGGCTTTGTATTGCATTTACTTGTATGAGTAAACATTGCTGAACTCAATTTTGTTATGCAAAATGACACAAAACATTATACTTTATTAGTACACAACAAAATAGAAACTGTACCATACAATGAGCACTAATGATAACAGTAACAGTAACATCAGTAAGTAGTAAATTGAAAGAAATTTTAAAAGGAATATTTAACGAGCAAATGAAAATGTGAACTTCAATTAATAAATAAAAATGAAAAATACTCCGAGGAAGCTTTTTGCTGAAAGAAAGATAAAATGTACCTGACACCATGGAATCAAAATGCACCTGACACCATGAATTTATCATTTTTCAGTGCCCATAAAAACCACTACGGAATCCACTTCATTAATTCATTGCATATATTTGATGCAAATTTGGAGTTCTAAAAACTGCAGCAAATCGAAGCTAAAATATTAAAAATTGGTTAGTTATTCAGTGCATGCTTTTATTCCTTTTTATCTATGAGGAAGACAACAAACTGCCTTATTTGATCTAACAATCGTTGGAACATCGAGATTACAATCTGTAATGAATACATTAAGGGAAAATTAAAGTATGAATGAATTTCAAAAATCGAACAAACTAATTCCTCTAATTGGAACTGTTAAACTTTCATGCTTTTTGCGTACTTCCTAACTTCTCAGCACCTCTAATGTATTTTGCTGAGAAGTTAGAAAGTAAGCAAAAAGCATAAAAGTTAGGTTAAGTTATTTTTTAAGAAAAGGATGTTACCTCCTCGATTAATTTCAATCAGAGTAAACTTGCGTGAGTAGTTAACAACACTGGAAATTCTAACTGGAGCCAAATAATATTTTGTTATTAATAATTAGTGCTAGTTGTTTACTTACTAATTTTGGTTTCTTTAGCGACCTGATAATTAACAAATTTTCTTAGCAGAGGTTAGAAAATACAAAATAGAAATCGATATACCCTCACTGTATTAATATTTTTTACAAATATTTGCAAATAACTGTTTATTTCAAATAATTGTTGCAAATATTTATGATTTTTCAAATATTCAAATGCAATCCAAAAGCGCAGTAACCGCTTCGCCCGCAGCTTTCAGCGTAATCATTGGTATGTTTCATTCCAATGTGTTAATTCTGGTCACCTGCTGTTGATTTTCGTAGCGTTTATTGCTATTATTGTTTATTCCTAGACTTCTGTCATTATTGCTATTGCCAAGGGATTACATATTTTATTGTAGATCGAATCCGAGCTTACTGCTCGGCCTAGGACTGGGATTGAGTCCAATTCTTAGCGAGGGCGCTCCTATATTTGATGCTTGGCATCTATATAGATGCCATTCGAAGGTTGGCTTCAAATAATCTGAGAGATGATTGAAAATTTCTCAGCTTATTCGATACTTATTTTTAGATTTAAATGATTCGTGACTTATTTTTTAGATTTTAATGAAGGTGCATCAGCTAGAGCACTGCCCTCGAGCTGAAGCGAGTATTCTGCATAAAAGACTAGAGGACGCGAAATACCTTAGAGTGCTGGGAAGAAGTACTGCATGGTTCTACTTTCCTTCAGGTATGCGTACATTTTTTCGGTTTTTGTATTAGACAAAACTCTATCAAAGTGTCAGAAAAAATATTACTAAAGAGGCTTTCATAAATTTCGACTGCTTGAAAAGCCATGTAAAATTTATTGCTCAAAATATATCTCATGTGAATTTTAAGGAGTAACATCTGGTAGAATCGAAGTCTCTGTTCTTGATAAATGCACTATTGATCGCGCAAGTTTCACTCAGAATCCCTGAAAATAATCCCGCATTAAAAAAAATTTCTTTCCAAGTAAAAAATAAAATATGTGTGGCTTGCATACAGAACTCTTAGTCCTGCGATTCTTCTTCACAGTCACCAGCCTGTCCAACAAACATTTGCTAGCTAAAAACAAAGCTGATGCGCCTTCATTGAAATCTGAAAAATAAGTCCTGAAAATTTTCAGGCAGATTTTACATATGACAAAGGTTTCTATTTTTACAATGTAATAAGAAATACCTTTGCTTCGGAGACGGAACACCCCTCCGAAAGCATGAAGCGAAAGCAACTATGAAGATCCAAATCTAATCTCAGTTTTTATAATAATTCGAGAACAAACATACTTTGTTTAGCATGGTATGCTCGATAGTAACTCACAACTATTTGACTTGTTTTAACATTTTTTCAATAATTGAAAGCGGAGAAGCGATGAATAGCTCCAAATCATAATCTGATCACTCCGAAGAAAATTTGAAGTATCGGTGAACAAGGTCTAAGTTGATCACATAAGAACATATAAGAATAAGCGCTCAGGAAAAGTGAAAATCAACAAGTAAGGATAATATTCAGCAATCTCGATGTAATTGTACCAAAATGAGACCGAATAAGTTGATTTCCGAGTGCGAAGTAAGAGCGCATCGTGAAGAAAAGCAGTTCCAGTGTGAAACTTGCTTGAAGAATTTCACGACCAACAACATTATGGCCTGGCACTTCCGCAAACATACTAATGAAAAACCATACATATGTGTTGTGTGCAAGAATGGATTTGGAAGTTCTAGTATAATAAACACACAGAAGCGCATACATAGCGGTGGGAAGCCATACATGTGCAATCAGTGCAAGAAAATGTTTATAACTTCGAGTAATTTAAGCACACAAAAGCGCATACATGCCGGTGAAAAACCTTACGTGTGCCATGTGCGAGAAAAAAAATTTGGTAATTCTAGTCATTTAAACATACACAAGTGCATACATACTGGTGAGAAACTTTATATGTGCGCTGCATGTGAGAAAGGATTCGGAGTTCCCAGTGATTTAAATAGACACAAGCGCACACATGCCAGAAAAAAACCGTATGTGTGCAATACTATTGAGAAAAGTTTTACCCAAAATGCGTATTTAAAAAGACACAGATACATATTTGGGGTAGAAAACATTCGAATATGGGCATATTTAGAAGTGCTTTTGGCTTTTGAAAATTTGAACAAGCGCAAGTACTGCTTTACACGAATTATGCATTTCGTGTAAGACTTTTCAGAATCAAAATCATTTTAGCGTGCTTGTTGAGATGAATTTGACGTTTGCAAGGACTTTCCAATCAACGGAAACGTTTGGTTAGTGCAAATATCTGTACAACTACACCAAATGTTAAACAATATGTTTAAAAAGACACACATACATATTTGGGGTAGAAAACATTCGAAAACAATATGTTTAACATTTGGTGTAGTTGTACGGATTAGAATTCTGTTCATACCGAACTGAAACTTAAAAATATTACTTTTACAACAGTAAGAAAGTACAGTAAGTGATAATACTGTTAATACTACTTAATAGTTGTCAACATACATTTTTTAATTTGACATTACTGCTCACTAACAATTAGTTTTCATTACGTTTCAAAATAGGAAAAAATTTCTTCTTCTGAATTCCACGTGTACTTGAACTTGCCGAAATTCAAAGACGAATGTGACTGTTGTGCAACTAATGTAAGTTTCTCAGTTCTAAACATATTTATATTTCTATCTTAGATGGGTTACAATAATTTGCAAGTACGAATTGTGAGCTTTTCCCGCTTCAAAGTCGTTGCTCTCCTGGTAGATAGAGGTGCGGTAT